ATTCCTGCATATTTTGAAGGAGGCTGGGGCAGACATGATACCTGCACATCAAGGCAGAACTGAGGCTTCTTAGAGCTGAGGAAGCAGCCATGGGAGGGTTGCTTTCTACTCACCCTGTCCTCCTGGCCTGTGCTTGCCAGCCTTGTCTGCACCGTTCTCGGCACCAAGTCACCCAGCAGAAAGAGATACGTGGCAGGTCCTACAACCTGTGGTCTTGGCAGGAGCTGCATTCCCTGACCTAAATGGGGGATGCAGACAAGCGTGCCCTGGTGGGTTGATGTACAAGCCTATTAAACCACTTCAAAGCTGCCTGGGAAAAGTATACCTGGGAAATCAAGTACTCTTGAACCAGTTGGCTGTGGACCAGATCAATATTATGTGTAGCTACCAAGTGTCCCATTAAACAGCCATTCAGCAACCATTAGCCTTCAGCAAATTCCAGTGGGTTGCTTGAAAATGACATCCCCTAAGCCTGCAAACCTGGCAGCGCCAGCTCCACGGCTCCACAGAGCAAGAACCTCCCTGCGTCGCCACCAACCACAGAGACATCAGGCCGTTTATGATCAATCAGTGCATTTGACTTGATCTGCCCGGTGCTTCCCTGTGGAGAAGAAAAATGATTCAGCTCCCATTGTAAATGGTGCGTCCTGATCTTTCTTGAGTTCTGCCAGGGAAAACTGGCATGAATCCCATAGATGCTATTTCCAGTCCAATGGAAAATGTGGCTGATAAATAGCAACTTTCCCAGCAGACAAACAATCCTTCCCTTTCCCATGCATTCACTTAAAAAAACATGCCCGGTTGCTAAGAATATTTGTATGGAAATAGTGCAGTGCTGTTTAGAGACAAACTGTACAGAGGGGCTGGAACAGTTCACAGAGGCTGACGTTCTCCCCGCGTGCAGAGGGACGCTGCTTGCTACGTAAGTGCAGTTTAAGCCATGCTTGGAGGGCTTGAGTGGCGCTCACAGCAGGCTTTGCATTGCCTTGCTGCATGGAGGACTTCACCAATGTCTCGTGTTGTCAGTCGTCACTCCCATGTGTGCTGGCCAAGGGCTTGATCCTGAGAGGTGCTGAGCAGGCGGGGAGTGGAAATGGCAAATGCTCAACAGATCAGACTCCAAGTGCAATAGTGTTGGGATGCTTGGTGGTTGGACCAGTGTGCCCATGAAGGAGGATCCCAGTCCAGAGGCAGCCATGACATCAGGGTATGACTGCTGGCCAGTCAGTACCCTTCTCTGAGTCCTTATTTTCCCATCTGTAAAATGGGCATACCAAGACCCACCTCGAATGGGTTGTCGTGAAGTTCAACTAGATAAAGTTTGCCAGGACATTCTCAAAGAAAAGATGCTATAGGAGGGTGCAGTACAGTTGTCAACTCTGTTTGACTCTATTCCAGGAGATTTCATCACATGAAGTAAAGACATTAATGAGTCATTACATCAGGAGGGCAAATGCACCTGACTATTATATTTAAAAAAATAAACCCACTGGACTACTGTATAAATCAGATTTAGACATTTCGTATTTATTGGAATAAATGTCCTATCATTTATCACTCAAGTGACTCTCTGCCATCTCCTGGAGATTTATATCTAATTCCTGGAGACCCCACAGCAATCCTGGAGGGTTAGCGACCCTCAGGTGAAGTAGTATAAAAGAAGTTTAGCCCAAGTACACAACAGACATGGTTATATATATTCAGGAAAACTGCCCTCTGTTCCTGTGAGGGGATAATTTAGCAATCAAAACTGAATCTAATGAGAACCTAGGACTGAAAAGGACCTTTGGGGTCACTGAATCCTGTCCCCTGCTCTCACGGGCAGCTACGTCACATAAATTGGTTGCATAAACAGATCAAGCTCATAAACTCATCAAGTGTAGGCCCCAGTCACTAAAGATTGGATTTGACCCCCAAGGAAGCTGTCCTGTACTCACGCAAACAACAGGGTGCCTTTATTCAACAGGGTTTTGTATTTGGAAAAAGAATTATGCAGGCATGCTAAACCCTTGGCTCTTGTGGAGACAAACTAATATGCTTATAAAGCTATATCAGGACATAGTAAAAATAACTCTTTGCAAAAATAGTCCAAGGACTGAGACCACCTACTGGATCACATCTGTTCCGTGCTGAAATAACAGGTCTCAGTTAGAAACCAAAAATAAGAAAACCATTGCAGACAAGACGAGATGCTTATGGACCCTCCTAATTGCTTTGTTCCTGATAAAGCAGGACATCTGTGAGCTACTGAGACCCTCTCATTTCCATACAGTAAATCAGGTTCCCTGCAAGCCTTAAAACGTGAGCATGTTATAGGGCTGTGTTTTGAGGCCCTGAATTGTTGTTAGTAGTTAAAATCAGTCAAGAGTCAATAAGAGGTTGTCCCTGTTTACTCAGAGAGGCTGCAAGGCACATGGCAGGTCGCTGGCAGGGAAAATCCCAGTCCTAGGCCTTAAATACTATGCTATATTCCTGAGTCATTTGATGAGTAGGAGATGGACTAGGGAGGTAGGGATTACACTGGCTCAGGCTCACAAACCATCCAGCCTGCAATCCTATCTCGGAGAGTGGCCCATGCCAGATGCTACAGAGGAAGGTATAAAAGCCCTTCAAGGACGGAGGGGTTGAGTGCTTTGCACCGAGCTCTTGTCCTGGTCTCTCATCGTTAGAGATTGGCTTCAACTCTGACTCCTTCAGTGGCCAGCATGAAATATAGGTAGTTATGCTATCTGCTAACTCATGTGAATAGGGACCTGTCTGGCGTTACTCTATCGTCATGTGCCCCTTTCATTCCCTCCTCTCTCTCACCCCGCGTTCCTCCCCGGGGTCGATGATGCATCCCGATGATGGCTGACATCGAAACGCAGAAGGATGCAAAGTTTCAGCAGCAGAACCGCGGGCTGTTCAAAGTGTGAGCGCTGCCCCATCTTTCAATATTCAACATGGACCTGCCAGGGCTTTTGCTGCCACAATGTCGCGCTCCACGAGCTGGACAAACCCCTGGGCCCTGCTCCCGGCGCTGGGGAGGCACGGGCTTCGTTGTCTTCCCCAAGCCGCAGAGCCGCACAGATGTGCCAACTTGCTGGCCAGCTGTGCTGAGAACAAGGCCAAACGCTGCCTCTTTTCCCGCTGTGCGTGTGCAGGGGAGCAGCCCAAACCTTCAGAGAGTCACAGACGCGGCGGCTGAAGGGACCTCAGGAGGTCACATCTAGTCCCAAGTAGGACTGGCCCCAACTACATCACCCCAGTCAAAGTGAATCACAGAAAATAGGGTTGAAGGGGAGTCACATCTCGTCCACCCCCTGCACAAAGCAGCACCAGCCCCAGCTGCATCATCCCAGGCAGGCTTTGGGTCTTCAACCTCCAAGGATGCAGACCCCACCACTTCCCAGGGTGCCCCATCCCGGTGTTTTACCACCCTCCTAGCCAGAAAGTTTTCCTTGATATCCAACTTCATCTTCCCCCACAGACCCCAACCTGGGGAAAGCATCCCTTCCTGCGGGCACCAGGGGCCAAGGGCAAGCGGGCGACTCGTGGCAGCCGGGGTCTCTCCTGGGACAGGACGCCCGGGACATCTGCTTGGAGGGGCTGAAGCGGGTCAAGTTGCAGCGCTTGAGGGCAGACAGACGTGCGGCTGGGGGCTGCACCCGGGCAGGGCAGGGCAGGGCAGGGCTGTGGGCGCCCCGGGCCGGCTGCAGCAGCCGCGG